GCGTAGAGGCATTTTTGGAGGCTGGGGGTGGGGTTGGGGAGAAGAAACGTGAGGGGGACTAGGGGGTACTTTTCCCTTCCTTCTCCCCAACCTCCCCAAAAAAGCTCCGCTACGCAGGCTAGCGTTTTATTATTCCGTGTGCAAGTTGATTTTCTTTGACACAAAAGGTAGTATAAAATTTTTTCTTCATAAATAAACAAAATTTGTTGCGTGCAGAGCTATAATAAAATGAACAGCATTTGCTCCAAATTAAACGTGTTTTTACAGCACAGTTTTATTTTTGAACACGTTAAAAGACATCATTAAACATGATACATTTATCAACTGAGTTAGGTACATTATCCTTTTATATCCCAGGAAATTTGTTTATCTTATTATAGCACGATTGATTTCATGTGAACACTCCTAATACTTGTTGAAGTATACCCTTATTAATACCTAATACTTGTGAAATAAAAAATACTAGTCAACGTGTAATAGTCAAATAAACACAAAAGGAAACAATGGAATTAGGGTCTACCAGATTGTATTAGTCTAATATCTATTTAACGGGTTAAATGACTTCACTCTAGTTTGAAAATATTTATGTGGCTTCAACTTTTCGCTGCACGTGTAATTCTAGTTTCTTTTACTTTAATTATTTGTTTGTCAATAAACTCAATTGAAAAATCATAAATCAATGTCGGGTTCAAAAACATAGAAGCTGAGACTGAAATGAGACATTGGAAGTACGTTAATACACCACTCTCTCATGATGGCTGACAAGTGCACTAAAACGAAGTCACCCAGTCATTAGTTCACAATAAGATACATAAAAGCACATGAAATGCGTTTATAGAAGAAAAGTATAGAAATTGACCCTTTATTCTGACTTGAACAGGTCACGTAACCCTACCTCCCTTAAAACGAGCAGTTGATTTTATATTAAATGCCATTTCTCCTTTTTCGTTTTTTATGAGCTAAAACTCCGCCACCCTACTAATTTTGAGGTGCTCTTTTCATTCCTGAAGTTCATTTTAACACAGTTGCTCGCTTCAAGGGAGGTAGGGTCACGTGACCTGTTAGTGCATGTCGTCATCTATTCGCGCTATTCGAAGTGGCCATAAATCCCACGGGTGATGATTTAATGATATGTAAGAGTATATAACAAGTAATCTATTGTTAGTTGCCCAAACCGACGTGAGGAAGAATATCGAACCCGGTAATGTTGGGCCTCTCCCTTTATTTAGTCAAGGATTTTGTTTCTATGTTTCTCGGTTCCCTCTAACCTCCACGCTTATCGATCTGTGAGTTAGCCGTGCCATTAGATCAGTACGACTATAGGCTGTTTTGTTGACAAGTGTAATGGCGGCTCTGGCCAGTGCTTGCGCTTGCATGCCGGCATATTTCAAAAGCAACGGGAAGGGTGGACGTATCTTTGAACCAATGTCCTGTCCTGGGAAGAGGAGCCCCATGCCATGCAGGCCGCGTACTATTTAAGCAACGGCAAGGGTGGTTGCATTTTCCACTGATCCGATGTCCTGTCCTAGAAAGATGAACGTCAAGCCAACCAGGCCGTGTGCAACGGCAAGGGTGGCTACATCTTCCCGCACTAATCTGATGTCCTGTCCTTGAAAGAGGAGCGCCAAGCCATGCTTTTTTGCTTTTTTTTTTTTTTTTTTTGACATGACATGACATGGCTATTCTTTTTCTTTTCCGCACACAGCTTGCTTGAAATTTTTCTTGCTTTCTTCGTTGTATGTTTTCCCTTTTCTTTCCTTTTCCTCTTTGTTTTTTGTTTTTGTTTTTGTTTTTGTTTTTTTGTATTTATATTATTTTTATCTTCTTCCTCTTCCCCTTCCTCTTCCTCTTCCTCTTCCTCTTCCTCTTCCTCTTCTCCTTCTCCTTC